TTTATCTGTACATATTTAGAAAATTGGAATGTATTTCTTAGCAGATATTACAAATACAATTTTTAGGCGAAAAACTCGTAATTGATAGTTGATTTTTCATTAACGTTAGAGTGCTGATAGTGGATTAAAATCTTCAGTGGTACCAGAGGAGAATTACAGATTTTCTGGAATTACAGACTTCATTGGAGGAAACATCAGTTGGGCAAATACCAGAGAAGCCAGGAAATGTCAGCTATAGGCCTTGGGTATGATCTGAGGATACAATTAGTAGTTGGTGGAAGACAGTGTTTGGTACATTTCAAAAGATTTACCTTGAAACATAGCAGAAGAGAGGGGTAGAGAAAAAGCTAGTACATTCATCAGCTCTCACCAGTGAAGCTTCCTTATGGCACAGAGTGTGATGCATGCAAAAGGCCACAACTGGCCAAGTTTTAAAGAATAAGAGACTGCAGAGTGTGTGTCCCTGGATAGGACTCCTATATTAAACCTCACCCACCCATGGCTCAGGGGCTATTGTGGAAGAGGGGGGCGGAAAGTTTGGAAGAGCCAGGGCTGATTCCTGAACACAGGGAAGCAGAGGCTTTCACGCCACTGGAAATTTTCACATGTGAATATATGGCCCACCCTAGAATGGGAACTATTGGAGACTGATTACTATTGGGCAAGGGAGTGTATGCCTCACTTACAATATCTAGATGGGCTGACTGGACTCCAGTGGATGAATTTGCACTGAAGGATATCTGGGTACAAATGCTTGGCTGGGTAGGACTTAACATGTATGGAAGAATAATCAGGTCTGGTGGGGGGGCCATGGGTGGGAAAGGGGGTCTAAATTTGATTAAGAACTGTTGTATGAAATGTATGAAAGCTCAATAAAAAATTAAAAATAAAATATTTACCTGATGATCACAAAGATGTTAGGTCACATACAGAGGATCATAGGGTAATTCCATTTCTATTGTGTTGAGAAAGCACACTGATTTCCATACTGGCTGAGCCACTTCACACTCACACCCAGAATGTATTTCCTTTTCCTCAATGTCCTAACAAATATTTACTGCCACTTGATTTCTTGAAGATCACCATTCTGATCGAGGTGAGATGGAATCACAAAGTAGTTGGTATTTATATTTCTCTGATGCTTAATAATGTTGAACACTTCCATAACATACTATATTACAACTAAATTTATTTATTTTTAATACTTTATTAATTTTTTATGTGCATGAGTATAATGCCTCCATGTATGTAAGTGTACCTGTATTGGGCAACACCCACGGAGATCAGAAGAGGGCATCTGACCCCCTGGAACTGTAGTTATGGATGGTTGTTAGCTGCCATGTGGGTGCTGGGAACCAAACCAGGGTTTTTTGCAAGAGCATTCAGTGCTTTTAACTGCTGAGCCATTTCTACAGCCCCCTTATGACCGAATTTAAATATACATATATTGTTTTAAAAGTATAAGGACATACCATACTGGATAATGCTGCTCTGAGAAGCCATGGTTTGTTAAACAAAAATTTCAATGCCAGGTGTTGAATAGGTCCTTATCAACTATATGCCAGGGAGGTCCCAGAGGCTCCCAAAATAATTTAGGCTCCTGCTGTTTCTCTTCATTGCCCACCAGAACTAAGTGGTGAGACCCTATTGCTAAATTCATTACACACCTTGGTTGTAGGAAATAGAGAAATCCAGCTGAACTGAGCTGGAAAATTCCAGATGGCTGGCTTTCATAATACCATATGTGCTATAGGTATACAGGCTGCCGGAAGCCTATGAATTATGGTACCAACCTGGCATGCAAGATGTATGCATCTGTGCAGTGGTAGCACAGCTATTATGGGAGTAGCCAATGGCTTTCTTATTAGATTTTTGGGTTCCACCACCAGAGGGATTCCATACCTAGTCAGAACCCTGTAAACCTGGTCAAAACCAAATGGCTTGGACAGTCATAGTTCCTAGGGGGGAATCTTCATACTGTTGGTCACCTAAATGGGCATGCTCTCAAACTGTGTTCTAATTATGTACATTTATGCTCATAGACAAACAGTTCTCTAATCATTAATCAGAGAAGGCCCTCAAGTGAATGCCGAACACAAGAGACTCATGGCTGCTCAAAGTTCTTAGAATAAATAATGGATGAGTACTCAAACACAAGTCTTTTTACAAATCCCTCAATGGGAAGGGAACATTATGGAAGAGAGGTGCAGAAAAGGTGTAAGAACTGGAATCTAGAGAGAAGTGCAAGGAAATGCCATCTTTCTGCAAGATACAATGATTGCAATCACGAACTCACACTAGCTGTGTTGGACTGCACAAGAACGGGCCTGCTAAAAATCATGCATGGGTCAGAGAGGCCCTACCCCACACTGCTGAAGTACTGGCTACTGATTGGTTCAGGGAGAGAGGGAGTCATTATCTTCAGTTATCTACCTACCAGTGAAAGCTACAGGCTCTAGTAAACACCTCTAAAGTGATGATTACACAGATGGCCCTGGATCACAAAGCAAAATAAAAAGATATGAATGTAGGAAAGGTACTATTAGGTAGGAAGGAGGAATTGATAGGAATGGGAAGGAAATAAATAGGGTGGGTAGAGAGAGAAACCAGAATGCTTTATATACATGTATAGTGGATCTAGAAACTGTTATACTAAGTGAAGTAACACAGACTCAGAAAAACAAACGACGTATGTTCTCCCTCATATGTGGCTCCTAGCACCAAATCCTTTTAAATTCCAGGTCTTTTTTAATAAGATGACGCTATGCAGTAGTCCCTTCTGCATGAAATACTATCATCATCATGACTTCGTCTGAGCCTGATCGCTAAACATAGTCACAATTGGGCTTGTTGATGGTTGTACTCATTCATTAAAAGAGCCAAGCAGGATCACTGGACCCTCACCTGAGTATCCAGCCACTCTTCCCAGCCAACTAGTCCAGATTTGGAAGACAAAAGAAAAATGAGGAAGAGCTCAATAGAGGGATGCTTTTGGAAGCCCTTGTCAAGAAACTCCAAAGGATGCTCATATGAGCATTTGAAAATTGCCCTGTTCTGACCTTTTTCAAGTTCCCTGTCTAGAACTTGTAATGCTAATTACTCTTGCCTTTACTTCACCTTCACATCTCCTATCAGGATTCAATGACTTTATTCTCCCCTTAGAGACAAGAGTCATGCAATTTAGGAGTCTTTTAGATAGACCCACGGAAGGGGTACTCCAATTTCCTCACGCTGCATCCCTGTTCAGCATGGAAGAAGCCAGAGCAGTCTGCGTCCCTATTCCCCATTGGCAATTTGGGTAACCCCTTCAGAGGATGGCGTGATAAGAATAGGAGGTAGGAATTGTCTAGGCAGTTAGGGTAAGAAGACCCCAAAGAAATGTAGTCAGTTTCTTGGCTAAAAGTCAAAATGTCCTTGGGCCTATTAACTCTGTTCCAAAGGCCAAAAATGTCAAAAATATTTGGGAGCTTGTATCTAATCCTTAAAAGATTTTAGGGTTACCTCTTCAGAGGGGGGAATGTTGGAAGAGAAGGAGTGGGCATGGATTTGATCAAAACACCTCATAGACATGTATGAAATTCTCAATAAAGCTTTTGTAAAAATTAAAAAAAAATTGTCAAAGAACAAAATTTAACGAGGAAAAATATCTATAAAGTTTATGTTTTACAGTAGACTTTGTCAACAGAATGAAAAGTTGCACACACATTGTGTCGAATAGTTGTAAGCCACATATCTGACCATTGTCTAGTATCTAAAATTTGTAAAGAACTTTCAACATGCAACCAAGACAGTCTAACAAATCAATAGGAAAAAATGTATGAGGAAACATCTCACTGAAGAAGCTAGATAGATTGATTATAATGGTGTGAAAAATATTTAGTAACAGCCATCAGAGAAATGCAAATCAAAGTCACAGTGACATACCTATAAGGACAAGCAGTATTTAAAAGCTGTTATGCAAAGAACTATCACTCATAAATTGCCAGTAGAAGTGGAAAAAGGCTCAGGCACTAATAGAATATTTTGCAGATTCTTAAAGATTAAAGCAGTTAACTACAATGTGGTTGAGCTCTTTCATCACTGGAGGTTTAATCCACAGGAATGAAAACATACACAAAAATCTGTACACACATGTTTATGGCAACTTCATTCATAATGGATAAAAATCAGAAACAAACCTGACATCATTCAGTGTGTGAACTGTTAAACTGTCGTACATCCATATTATGGAATACTTAGAAATAAAATAAATGAATACACATACACACACACACACACACACACACACACACACACACGCACAAAACTGTAATGCATTTCCAGGGAATCACACTGAGGGAAAATGTCAATTCGAAAATGTTCCACATTCTGTGATTCTATTGATAAAATATTCTTGAAATGACAAAATTATAGAGATGTGGAATTAAACACCATGGTTTTCAGGTTTTGAGAGGGACAGAGGGAGGAGTAAGGATGTGGGTATAGCTGTAAAAGAGATGTTCTGCTTCTTGAGTGTGTCAATGTCAATAGTCCAGTTTTGATAATGTGCTAAAGTATATAAGATGTTATTGCCCTTAGGGGAAAGCAGTAAGTGTATATGGAGTTTCTTTACATATAAAATGGGAATGCACAAAAAGTTGAACTGACAGTACCATAGAATTGTAAAGCTTATAAAATCAGAATCAGAAATTATTTTTAGATATATCCTCAGAGGGTTTGTACTAGGTAAGTCTTCTATTGAGAACGTTCTTTTAAAACATGTTTATTATAATTGATAATGGGAAAAGACCTTGATGTTTATGCTTCTTAAACAAGATCCTTAAAGTTCATGAGAAGGTCTATGGTCACTATGGAAGAAATATTAATCATTATCATTGTATTTTCTTGACTGCATTCCTCATTCCCCTTCACCACAGAAAAATCAAAGCAATGAAATAGAATCAAAAATTAGGAAAAGAATGTATCAGAATGTATGTGTTACCAAAAAATGGAGTCTTCTTGTGCTCTCATCAGCACATATACTGAAACTGGAACAATACATAGAAGATTAGCATGGCCTCTGCGTGAGGATGACACGCAGATCCGTGAAGTGTTGCAGTAAAAAATTAAAATGGAGTCTCAGTTTTTTTATTTATTTTTTGAGTCTCTTTTAAAAATAAATGAAATAAGTTTTTCTTATAAAGTATATTTAATGAAGGTGCTGGCTGTTATTTACAGAATATAT